CTGAGGTTGCACGAGGGCAAAGGAAAGATCCTTAGCTCTAGCGTGGCAAAAGAAGGAAAATCTCTGAGGTAGACTGTGAAACGAGAGTTTGGGACGAAAAATAGAAGAGAATTTTCGCGAACAAAACGTCAGGCACGACGTGGATGTAGCGTTATAAGTGCTACCAATTTATACGATCGATTTACCGGCCTGAGTTGCGGAAATTACGCTCAGAACGATGTGTAGTAATTATCAATGCTAATAAGAAGAAAAACGCGGCAAACGGATATTCTAGTCGTTTGACGAGTGTTAAGGTTAAACGATTCTACATCAATGTCCATGTAATATTTATGAAGATCATGCTTGCTCTTATAATGGACTGTTTGGAATTAGATAATACCTTTGTAATATGTAAATAAACGACGAACAGAATTACCAGAAATTCTAGTCACAAAATTAATTTTCTCGAAGAAATATTAATTTACATTTTCCCAAAATTTCCTGGGAAATTATACCAATAAAAGCTACTCAACTGTTATGTTACGAATCGCCTGTATTTTTAAAAATTTCGAAGCTTTCCTATGCAAAATTTATTCGGGAACTAATTAATTAGTAAATAGTAATCTAATTAGTAATAATTAATAATATAATAATTTTCGAACACACTTCTAATAAATTTTATTCCAATTTATATATAGAATAACAAGGAAAGGGAATGAGTGAAGAATTGAACAGGAAATTTGAGGCAGATAAACGGAATTTCCAAGTAACACAGGTGAACAGAACTTCGATGACAGTGATTCATTCTACATACATGAATCCAGTTGTAAACAAATTGAGACACGAGTAAGTTTTGACTAGTTATCCTTATCTTCCCAGTATTCCTATACCTTCGATGCTATCAGTTTACCTGACACTAGTCTTGTTTCACAGTACGCGTTATACCATGTTAACAATTTCACGCTATCTTCTTTAATCTACAGTAAACACGAAGAATAGCTTTCGTGAAAAGTTGAAACAAACATGCGTGTGTACACGTGTTCGTGTAATTTTACCTTCGACTATGTTGATTCGCTTATTTGTTCTAAATAGACATTTCTTGGCTACTTTTACGTGTCCTGTTTACCTTTGTGCTTCACAATCCTGTTTTTAAATCACATTATCGAAGATACTTCACCTCGAGTAGATTCTTCGAATCGTTTGCAATGCTCGAAATTTCAATTTGCCTTTGTCTCGATAATTATAAGCGATTAATTCGATGAAATTAAACGAAATTGAACGAAGTGCGACGAAAACCATGGGGATGGAAATGCTTTGACGAACGGAACGAGCTTGAATTATTTCGCGACAACAACGAGAATAAATTAGGACGAAATATTAACGAACAAAATATTATACGAGTCGTAGAATTGTAATTCACCGTGTACGGGTGTGCACGTGTGTAACGTGCTATTTCGACGATGTATCGGTTAACAGGGTACAACGAACACGTAACAATACCTTGGCACGTGTGTCAACGTGTTTATATTTTCCAAGATAATTATATTACTACCACGAAATGCACATAAATACACGGTATGTACAGTAATTGTATAAGCGACGTGGATGTAAGGTAAGCATTAATAATGTGACGCAGGTAGCAAGTTCACATCCGGTGAATCATCGAAAAATCATATAACAAATACGTTAACCATCAGGCATAATATATATGCATCCCCGAAGTTCGAGTTAACTACAATACGACACGGTCCATAAATTACTCTGAATACCCGCTGGCCGGTAAACATGTGCTACAACACTTGCACAGATTTTTACTCGTACGTGTTACATAAACCGGATTTTATGAAACCCGTGTTAAACCCGCCAAGATAAAGTCCAAATTGATAAATTCTTGATGGAAATATCGTCCCTGTAGCAAGTTTACGTGTTATGCTACTTGTACGGCTGGAAAAAATTCATTTAAAAGGCAATCGCCTTTTTCACATCGCAGAATTAAATGCACACTATGAAGTAGAAATATTGTTTTTGATAAACGTCCGTGGCTGCATATTTAGAAACTATAATTTTTTTTAAATTCTAATCGGTCACATTACCCTCTTTTACATATAAATTTCATATATTATATATGTATAGCCTGAAATACCATTATTACTGTATAGTATTATATTATCGTTCCTTGTTAACCTGAGCTAGTAGAGAAAGACAGAGAAAGGAAAAGAAAGAAAGGAGAGAGAAAAAGAGAGAGAGAGAGAGAGAGAGAGAGAAAGAGAGAGAGAGAGAGAGAGAGAGAGAGAGAGAGAGAGCGAGAGAGAGAGAGAGAGAGAGAGAGAGAGCACGCTATAGAAACCAAGTAAACTATTGTCGAATTAATTCCCGTGTATTAATTTACGTAAATTTAATCAGAATAAGAAGTGAACAAAAAGCACATAATAACAATACACGGTCGTTCTCGACTTACTCTCTATACATCCCTGCGTTTCTCATTTTTTCCCCTAGTTTTTCATCAGTGCAGATAACAATGCGAGGCATATTTGCGGAATAATGAAGCAAGCCAGGACACGGCGGGACGCGACAAAATCTTGACTGACAGGAAACTTGGATCAAAACTACAACTGGAGTAAACTCCGGTTCGACAGAAATTCATCCGGACAATTATCTTCGGAATGAAATGGCACCAATTAAACGAGTTTCCTCCGTTCTTCCGTGCCTGCAAAAACGACGTCGGTACTAATTAGCAAAGTCCACGCTCCAAGTGAATTTCATACTGGGATCTAGGAGTCTGGATGCCTCACCAACTATCCCGGCCGCCTTCTATCTCATAAACGATCCAAGTATTTTCGACGTGCCACTCGACCAAATTTTCTTCCGACGATATTGGTTCCTTTCCTTCGCGACATGCGTCGACGTGTTTTTGGTAAGGTTAACCCGTCCGCGCGTGACGCCATCTTGATGCGGAGCGCGGAGGGAGGGGGAGAAAGAAATAGGGTCGTAACAAACAGCCGCCGCGCCCCGAGCACCGCGTTCCGATCGACGCTTTGTGTATCGCGATATAATCGGCTTAGAAAAGAAACCAGGACTGACGGTTCACGTGCAAGGACGGACGCTGCTTATGTTAATCGATCGTTTTAATTAAATTTCTAGAACGTTTCTAATCGCAACGAAACCGATTACGCAGAAAAAAATCGACGCTTTTTATTTATATCCTTGATGATTTTATTAATTTACGTCCGCGTGGGCGAAATCGACGTTTGCTCTGACCTTTCGAAGCGGCGAGTTTAAGGCGGTCTTTATTGTGCTATATAATCCGATAACTCGTGCCGATTTTGCAGCACAATATTATTATAATAACACGATACGAACTGATTCGATCATTTTCGTAAATAGAAATAATTAATCGAATAAATCATGCATTTGTTAAATTTCAAACTAAGCAGAGTTTGATTTTTTATTATTTCGAAATTTATGTAATTAACTTGGAAATATTCGTATTCAAAAAATAAATTGAAATATTGCAATCTGTATTTCGAAATAATCGATACCGTGTTCTATTTATCCGGTTAAATTATTTCTGCCAGTTGAAATTTAATATTTAAAAAATAATTTTAAACAAAAAAAAGCCGTGCAATTAACATGGAGTATGTTTGCTGAAGTAATTTGAATTTCAGTTTATTCGAAAAAGCTGCAACGGTAGGGAAGATTTAAACCATACAAGTTTAATTTATACGCCATATTAAGATGCGAATTATACCGCAGAGGAAATAAAGTAGACATATGCCAATTGGCAATATTCCCGGCTCGCCTTTTACCAACGAAGAGGAAGAGGAAACGAGTATTTGTGCATACGGCTATCTCACGTACAACTTTTCGCATAAAACTGCATAAAACAACGGCAGGCGGGCGCAGTTCTTGATTTGCGAAGTTTTATAGCAAGATGGCACTGTTCCGGCACGAAAACGCCCAGTATGAGAAAAGTTAAGTCCACTTGCAAATATACACACACCTACCTATTCCAAAAATGGCCGATTCATAGGCCTATGGCGTGGAAAATTACGAAATCTTATATACGAATCAGCCTATCTCCCTTGAATGTATTCCACCGCTACAGTCAAACCGTATTATTGTTACAAATTTGTTGCGCTATTCGAACATTTCAAGAAGTTTACGTATGAACGCTATAGGAGACAAATATTGAATGTCGACGATGTATTTCAATCGCCGCGCTGTAGGTTTGTTTTGATGTCCCTCGAAGAAATCGATCTACGTCGACCAAAGATTGTTTTGGTTCTCGAGCCGCTACGACGGTTTGAGTCACGCTTGCTACCTGAACCGGTTCGTTCCAGTTATTTTTAGTATATATTCCACCCGATTTATTCAATGCGAATATTCCTATAGAAGACAAGAGAATCTACATTGATCACGATAATATTTTCCGATTCAAAGTTTCTAACATTTCTGCGAAGAAAAATGAACGCTTCACAGATGTACGAATACCGAACGACATCTGATTAACTAATACGCACTAACTTTCCGAACGCCCTATAACACGGTCTATATATTTCGTCCCCCGCACGTACACCGTGCACGCATGCTCCTTTCGCTACGAATAGCATTTATTCAACTGTCACGCGACAAGATCACGAATATGACCTTAACAACTACCGAGGAATTCTATCGAATACACTGACTCTTTATACACTTGTCCCTGTCTCTCGAAAAATTGTCGGTGAACTACGGGAACGCGAATCGGAAGAACTACGAGCACGCAAATCGGAAGAACTACGGGCACGCGAATCGAAAGAACTACGGGGACGCGAATCGAAAGAATTACGGGGACGGGAATCGAAAGAACTACGGTAACACGAATCGTTGAATCGCGAAAGACAAACAACGATAACGACCGCATGTGAAACGCGACCGAACCATCTGTCGAGTTTTGAATAAATTATTAATCAAATCTTCACATTCGAACGAAAAACCGGCGATTTCATTTATTAATCGTAATAACATAATTGTATACTCACTGGGGAAGCTGTGTGTATATGCGACGAAGCACGCCGCGACGAGTAGGACGCCACCAAGAATCTTCATCTTTTCCTCTGTTTTTTTACTACGTTGTGTCGGAAGACCCGCTCCGGTAACTCTCTGGGACGATGATTCGATTAGTACTGACGAGTTCGGCTTCTTGCAAACAGGACTGTCACAGAAACTCGCGAGGGGATCAAGGTCACTCACAGAACCAGCTCACTGAACTCGCTGACGCTTTGCACCACGACTTTTGTCTCGCGCCACTCTATATGTGATTGTTCGCCCGCCACTTGACCAATCCCCGCGCTCCTCACTGTGGTCACGTGAACAGCTGATCACGTGACCATAAGGCGCGTTGCTTGACTCATAAAGAAGTCTTCTCGGTATTACTAACTTTATATTGTGTCAGTACAATGTTTAAAATCTTTACGAACACAATTACATACATTCTTTATAATCATAAATTTCATACAAAATTACATTATGAAGTTGTTGATACTATAATAACAGGGAATTGAACGAATATTACCGTGGATATGATGAGTAAATTCTTCCATTGTTTCTTGAGTTCCAAGCGTATGATTCCATATTAACTATTGGGTGCCAATACCTAGAATGAATACGAGACACAATTAGTAGTTCAAAAAAGGTATAAAAGACCGTCCCAGCTGAATTATTTGTTCGTTAAAATGCACTTATGCATCGTACTTTCAGCGTTTATAGCATACGTGCATCTGAACTGGTATATCGCGGAAAATTTTATAGCAATGAAATTCAATAACTACCATTTGAAATACAGGATTACCGCTTTCATGTATCGCTTTTCCGCGTTTGTACCGTCGAGTAAAAGCTTATATGCATGAAATCAGTTAATAATTCTTTAAATCTCTCGTGTTCAATTTTGTTGCATCAAAGAAGGTATTTGGAACAATTGAGTGTGACTTTTTCGAAATATTATTGAAATAATAAAATGTTATAAATATTATAAAGGTTTCATTTCTTTCTTTCTTTATTACATTAACGACATTACGTTTGTAAATTAAAGTTCTGTAAATTACAAGTGTACATCTCCCGAGAAAAAATATTTGCGAATTATTATAACGAATTTATTATGTTATAAGAACTCTAAAAAAGATATGCAATACAAAATTTTAACATAAATAATATGTAATTACTTTTATACCAATCATTTGATTTCTTTCTTTCCTTTCAATGTTCCTAGAATATGTATGTTTTTTCTAGAAAAAAAAAAATGATATAAATTAAAAATAAATATCTTGCAGTATACTGCTAATTAATTGAAATTAGATTTGATTTATTCATAGGTTATAGTTTCCGAATAATAAATAACCACTTACCAGTATATAATTATATTACTCTCTTGATTACAGTAGAATGAAACGATGACGTAGTTTATCTGTTTCCGTCACTGAATGCTTGTAATTTTACAAAGATACTTTTCATTTCCGTGAAGTGTCAAGGAATCTTTCCACGTCGTCAAAATGAAGTACAGATAAGTACAAGAATCTGAAACAATATTTGCATAATAAACCAAATCAAAAAACATCAATTATTTCGTTACACAATTAAATTTTGGCACTCAAAGTAAAACAACGTTGTTTATATTTCGAAAATAATGAATTTCATCCGAATATGAATTTACATGTCTAACATGCTAAGGACGTGTATATGTAAAAGCCGGCCTACCTTGAATCATCATGTGCGGTAATCGGTCTATAATATTTCAAAGGTAGATTAATTTCCTCGTTATTCTATTGTACGCATAATATACACGTCGTTTGACAATTAAAATGCAAAAAAATAGAGGATGAGAAAGATAACGAAGACAATATTTTTTATTTACTGTATGTCTAACCTCACTTTTAAAAAATAAATTTGTGAAGATAGGAGGTCATAATCGACTTTCTTTATAATATTTCGGTAAATTTTTGGTAAAATCACAGTCTTTCTGTACTGCGTTTGCATTTTAGCAGCAATTAATAATGTTAGACATATGTATATTATCTAATATAATAAAACGAAAATAAAATAATATGCCAGAAAACACGTCGGGATGCTCGCGATGTACGTTCACAGTGTTTAACCACACTAGTACGCGAAATAAATTTCCGTATAAAATAGAGTGAAACACTAGGAATGCAATTTGATAATTATAATTATCATCCCCCGAATAAAAAATTTTCAGTTAATGTTGACAGCATTATGAACGCACACAATTTTATTAAAAAATATTTTTCCTGTCATATCAAATGTCAGTCACACGTGACATGTTAATTCACTTTTTCTCTGCACTTATTTATATGAATATTACGCAAATAAAATAAACGTTAATATTACCTTTGCTGAGAAACGTTCTCAATCATTCTGTATGATCATAACGAAAGAGCAGACATGTAACAGAAACGTAATAATTAGTTATAATCATAAAGAAAAAGAAACAGGCGTACAGATTTCTAACCTGGTTTTCACCAAGCGTGTAGTGCACGTGTTTTGTAGAATCACACAAGTCATTGCTAATAAATCGAGATGTTTGAAGATACACGTTTGCTTTATTCACTAGAACGTGAACAAGACTGTATAATCGCCACGGAATAGAAAATTCATCCGCGACGAAACCACATATGTAATTTGTCTTAGTGATCCATCTCCAACAAATCACTGATCACGCGAATGTTGCGAACGATCGTGCAACTAAATGCCCGACAGGGTGAGCTGCACATATGCGACTCGTTACGATGCATGTTAAGCGATCATACGACCATGGAATACAAATGGGAAGTTTCAGCAACGATATATGTACGTGTTTTCCTAAAAATTTTCGAGATATTGCACTTGCTCGAAAACCAGTGCTCATTTCGTGAAAGTTCGTTCCACGGGTCGACCGTGATCGTCATATTTCGTTGCTTCTCGTTTCGTATCCGTTTCATTTAATCTTTTCCGCCGAGAGTACGATTGCGTTTTATAAAGTAGAAAATCTGAAACTGTTCAAGTAACCACGTGAAGTGAAGTGATTTCATCGTGAAGTCGGAGAGAATCAGCAAAGCAACATCGTTTAAGGAATACGTATGTATTATATCTTACTGATTTTGTGTAATACGATCGAATGAAATTCGCCAATATGGAATTCTTGTCTGTAACGTAATATTTTCGTCACGTGCAACGGTCGTCGATAATTGGCGTAAATATTAATGGAAAGGGTCCGGGATAAAGCAATTTGGATTGGGTGGAGTGTTGAATAGAAATAAAATGAAATTGATTTGCGATAAGCCATATGGCAAAGCATTGTTACCAATCGTTCGATATTCTGTAATAATATGCGAACAATTTATATACTTTCTTCGTTTCGCGATGACGTTTGTCGACAATGGTTCGTTCCAATCGTGAAATTCGAGGTTAAAATAAAACGAACGATCATCAGTTGGCGTAGATTTATTTCGCTACGAGAAGACTAGCCGCCGACGTTAATTCGGTGTCTCGTAAACAACGTGGCTTGCGTTCCAAATGTACGAGGATTTCCGTTGTTTTATCGGACACCATAAAGCCGCCTGTTACGACTGCACACGCTTCGATATCATGATCTTCGCCGGGCGAATGACTTTCTCATATGATCTCTTTGTAACACCGCCAACAGTTCAACGGTTCAATAAGTGGTTAATGAAAAATTCAATTAAAATGTTAGTTTAGTTCTTAAAATAGGAGACATCGTTTGATATTTTACATCGATACGTTAGCACATGACTATTTCAAACTTGCAGTATTTTTCCCGCGCCAACAATTCTTAGCTTGTCCAATCACAGACCGTTACAAGTCCACGTCAAATCGAATATACCGTTAACATATGGCGGAATATTTTTACGCGTCAAAGTGAAATTTTCAATGTCTATATAATATATTTCGTGAAATAGTGCTATCACAGTTTGAAATTTTAATTACTGCAACCAGCGAAATATATATTCAAAAACAATAATACACAGTATCAACTATTACGTCGTACCTTGCAACTATGGGTTACTTTTGCAATATTGTCGTAATATTTACTAATGAGGTATTACGCAATTATCTGATATTGATTGTAGATTATAGATTTCGATTATCGATTGCTATATTTATATGATATAACAAAAAAGGCAGTTTGTTAATAGTTTTGTCAATTCTTTTTCGATTTTGACATACCAGGAGCGAAATAAAGTGGCGGGAATGCAAATCGTGTAAAGATATTACGCAATTACCTGATATCGATTGTAGATTATAGATTTCGATTATCGATTGCTATATTTAGTCGATATAACATAAAAAAGGCAGTTTGTTAATAGTTTTGTCAATTCTTTTTCGATTTTGACATGCCAGGGGCGAAATAAAGTGGCTGGGATGCAAATCGTATAAAGATATTACGCAATTATCTAATATCGATTGTGGATTATAGATTTCAATTATCGATTGCTATATTTAGTCGATATAACATAAAAAAGGCAGTTTGTTAATAGTTTTGCCAATTTTTTTCAGATTTTGACATACCTGGGGCGAAATAAAATGGCAGG